TAAAGCTGTACACGTGTACCAGTTTTCTCCATCAATATTAGAAGTAGGAGTAGCTGTAATAGCAGTAGTAACAGTAGTAGTAGTAGTAGTGGTAGTAGTAGTAGTAGTAGTAGTAGTAGTGGAAGTAGAAGTAGTTATAGTAGAAGTGGTAGTAACAGTAGTAGCAGTAGTAGTAACAGTGGGAGAGCAAGGCTCCACGGTGTAAAACTGTACACATTCAGAGATTTCTCCAACAATATTAGAAGTGGTAGTAACAGTAGTAGTAGTAGTAGTAGTAGTAGTAGTAGTAGTAGTAGTAGTAGTAGTAGTAGTAGTAGTAGTAGTAGTAGTAGTAGTAGCAGTAGTAGAAGTAGTAGCAGTAGTAGTAGTAGCAGTAGTAGTAGTAGTTGTAGTAGAAGTGGTAGTAGTAGTAGTAGTAGCAATAGTAGTAACAGTAGTAGCAGAAGTAGCAGAAGTAGTAGAAGTAGTAGTACTAGTCGTAGTCGTAGTAGTAGTAGTAGTAGTAGTAGTAGTATAAGTAGTAGTAGCAGTAGTTGTAGTAGAAGTGGTAGTAGCAATAGTAACAGTATTAGCAGTAGTAGTAGAAGTAGTAGTAACACTAGTAGCAGTAGTTGTAGTAGAAGTGGTCGTAGCAGTAGTAGCAGTAGTAGCAGTAGTAGTAGTAGCAGTAGTAGTAGTAGTAGTAGTAGCAGTAGTAGCAGTAGTAGCAGTAGTAGCAGTAGTAGCAGTAGTAGCAGTAGTAATATAGATGTAAAGTGGCATTGAAAGCGTTGCTCAGTTTCTCCATGAATAACAGTCAAGAGAATAGGCCTACAGCATTTGAGAACACATTGTTACATATACACATACAGTATATAAGTATAAGTACTTTCTTTACTATCAATCACTTGTTTTTTTAAAGGTGCACTGTGTAACTTTTGTGGTGGAGGATCCTTCATCTGTTTGTCTCCATGGAGATGTTGTTGCTTGGTTTTACTGTGAGTGGTCTCGTCTCTCCACAAATCTAATATGTAACCTGGCCCTGTGGTATCAGATGCTGTTGCCGTGGATATAAATAATAGTGTAATGGAAGCTGGTTATGGACTCTCCACTAGAAAAGTTACACAGTGCACCTTTAAGTCAAGAAGAGCATTTATACAAACCTATGCCAAATCACTGGGGGCTGCTGTTGTGAATTAGTCTTGGCTGTGATATCTGCATTAGATTATTTAATTGTTAATGTATGTTTGTGTTTCTGTTCCTTTTCAAATAAACAATAAATAAAATAAATGTTCTGTTGCACTAAAACAGGTGACACTTAAACACCACAGTAATAGCATGGTAATAGGATGCAAATATCATGGTAACTAAAGTGTAATTATGGTAATTACATTGTAATTTGTCACAGAAACTGGACACATCTGTCATTTCATTTTCACTTTATTTCATGGCATTCGTAATTAACATATTTTAATCATTTGGAAATGCCAGGACTGCCAAATGAATTGCTTATTTCACTGACCATGTCCATCTTTTTAGTATGATATGTTGTGTAAAGAAATGTAAAATGTGACTAAAACACGTTTTGAATAAATATAATTAGGGATGCTTTTTATGTTTCAATATTGATGTTGATACCATGGCTTTATGTATTTGCCTTTACCCAAGATTAGCTGTTACTACGGCAGAGATATATTATTTATTTTCTTTAAACACAAATGGAGAATGGGAAACAAGTGTCAATTAGCTACTGAACAGCTTCGGGAAAAAAAACAAGTCAAGGTGCATTGTGTAACTTTTGTGGTGGAGGGTTTATCAAATGCTTTTCTCCATGGAGATGTTATTACTCTATCTGGAATGTTTCACAGTATGGTATTTAACAAGTTACAGGTCAGATCTGTGGAGAGGCTCACAATCAGAATGCCTGTTTTTCTAAGCATTTTTGAGCTATAAAACCACCTGTAACCAAATAAATGTAAAGTAGAGCTGTCATACTGTGGAAAATTCCAGGCAGAGCAATGACATAAACATAAAAATAAGCAGGTGACGGACCCCAAAAGATGCACCTTGAAATTTTACAGGATGTTTTGGGCCAATATTAAAGTAATTCCTCTTATTCACCAATTTATGACCAAAATGGGGCAGTAACGTAACACATATCTTGGAACCAAAATGCGATCCATCACAATTTTTCGTGAGAATCTGTAAAAATTATAAAGTTGGCACATTTAGGGACAAAAGTTGCAAAAATAATGTGTTTTTGTGTTTGTGTTTTTCATATAAGCCCCTCTCGTGACACAAAATACCATGTACCACCACTCTCATCTCTCTTTTCAAAACACTGTTCCCTGTGTGCTCTTAAGGACCAGAGACCTGCCTTTAAAATAACAGATAGAATGGAAAGAGAAGAAATCAATGTTTGTCTGTGTTGGATAAATGCATAGAGCTGGCGGTGTGGGGCGGTAAGAGGGTAATCTGTGGAACAACAATGGCGTGGGCTGACACACAGGTGCTAATCTAGGCTGGACCAGTGCTATTCTTAAACATTGTGTTGTGTGGCTCTCAGCTCACACTGTAAGCTGTTCTACGGTAATGGTCCTCTTTCTCTGGAGTTTAAGCAGCACTGTTCAGCCTGTTCTGACAGGGAGCTGATGGACGCCTGCTGTAGGTGTTGCCACAGACGCAGAGACACAAAACAAGTCAACTGAGGGCTCTGTGCTCTAGCATCCTGTTCAGATCCATAATAAGTTTTCTCATGTTAATGCATCATCTGTTTTGTATAGCACAGAATGAAAACTCATGAATGTTTTAGGCCGCTCACGATAATTACTGTATCAACTCATCGTTCAATATGAAAGCTGGAACACTATATTTTGGGGGTCAATATTTATTGCGCGTTTCTTTGCAAAAGTGGTGAGATTTTTGCTATTTTAATTTAAGAAAAATAAGATTTGGGCTGTAGAGAGTTGAATAAATAACTTCTCTGGCTAATTATTGCTATTCTGCTGTTTAATTGTTGCATCTTGTCCTTTTTAATGATACAGTAGATTTAAAAACTGGTTTACTGGGATTATTCTGCTCTATTGTTTTTGTATCAGTGGCATAAAGTAGTTTGAGTATTATCCTTTATTGCTATATTTCTTGGTAACAATATATTGTGCTTAAAAATGTGTTATCGTGATGGACCTATTTGGTAGGACTACCGATATGGCTGAATATATTTTATAATATAAAAGGAAAGGAAATTTGCATTAAGAATTTAATTGATGATATTCCTATGACTAATGGGAGCTTTACAATATTTTATTCTGGACTCCCACACATACAAAATACAGCATCTAATTAAAATACATTTAAAAATGTGCTGTTTACTTTGGTGATGTTATGAAATAATTTAGAGGCAGGGTCAGCAGTAGAGAATTTTCAGTTTATTACTCATTTATTATTGAATATCACATTAAAGTGCTTTGAGTGCCTTGAAGGTGGAAAAGCACATTATAAAATATGATCATTTTATATAGCTTAGTTAAAAGTATATGTGATTAAGCACTACACCACACATTCCTATTTATTTTTAGCTCTTTTCAAAGCTTTTAGTTTCAAACTTTTAACCATAATGCTTATGTGAGAGTAAAATTACAGGAAAGGAACAAAGTGAACTCAGCTCTCTCAGAAACCATGCATGGAGTAGGTGTCACATCCATTTATCCTCTTAATGCTACTTACAACTGCACTTATGTTAAAAGTGTAAAGGTAATGCATGTGAAAATGGCTGAATAGTGTTGAAGGAGTTGGTTGGACTTTTGCTATTATTTTAAGTGGAGTCAAGACCATTGAAATGCTGTTTCGCATCATCTGTTTCCTATTGTTGAGGTTAGCTCTTATCGCTGTCAACACTCAACTTATCTAACCAAAACATTAGTGTAGTCCTGTTTTGTACTTTGTTTCGTCAGAGTGCCATACTAATGTGAACTGTTCTTTTTATTGTAAACATCTGCTACTTAAAGGTGCACATTCTAGACAAAGCTATAACATTACCATGGAGACAAGATGGTGGCGGAAATAAGGTTAAGGTTAGCTTTTATTATCCCTGTAGGGAGATGTGTCCTCTGCAATTGACTGCCCCTTCAATGTTGCTGGGGGAACTAAAAAAAGAAATACAAAATAGATTTAAACAACGCATTTTCAGGTGTTTATGTATGTATATATGTAATTCTATTTGAGAGGGTCTTTACCAGCTCTTCTGCTCATCTCTTTCTTGTCAGATTTTGTTGAAACAAAGCTTAAAGTTTCAGACAGAGCAGTGGCTTCAGTTAGCGTCACACCCCCAGAGAATGTTGATGAAACCAGTTGTAAAGTATCAATACCATTGTCAGTAAGAATTTCAATGGTGAACTACTAGGGATGTAACAATATCTAAGTCTCACGATACGATATCGTCACGGTATGAACCTCACGGTACGATATTTAGCGATATCGTGGGAAAGGTCAGTGTAACAATATTCAAATCTCTTGGTACAATATTTTCACGATATACATCTCACTGTACGATATTTATTGCGATATTTTGTGGAGGCTAAACAGCTAAAACTGTTAATATGCTACTTTTTCCTTTTAAAATGCCTTGATAAGACTTAATCCAAAGAACTATGACTTAAAAGAGTTTAGAACTGTTTTCTTCATGTAGTCTACACTGAAATGGACCAAAGGATCATGGTCTATGTAGTTCCCTCTGACTTTTTTTAGCTATTGCTGCACCATAACTCTAAATTTAAGCAAAGAGACTTGTAATTCGATATATTGTGATGGTCCACGATATTACTGTGAGAACTATGACGATATGATATCATGATATTTCAGTTATTGTTACATCCCTACTAACTACTTTGCGTTAATTTGAAAAGTTGTTCGTGAAGTGTTAAATCACATTCTATATATTATTTTTTTTTATTTAACCACACAGTTTTTCCAAGCATTTTATATCATTTGTATATAATTTTCGGTTCTGTTTGTCTGTACAGTTTGAGGCGCAAGTGTACGAAGGATGGACCGGAGTGATTGTCAACCTGACAGTAGATGACAGGGATGATCCTGCGACAGGGGCGTGGAGAGCTATTTTCTCTATAATCAGCGGAGACCCCACCTCCAGCTTCGAGATCCAGACAAACCCGGACGATAATGAGGGAATGCTATCTGTTGTCAAGGTAACAGCACAATAGAAATGCATTGATATGTTCCATTATCTAAACCAGCTCTATGTAATTAGACGTGCTCTGAATCATCATGGCTTCATTCTGAGCACTGAGGTCTGTATATCTGCGTTTTCTCGTGACCTCTCTTTGTTACTCTGCCTTCCACATGCAACTGTCATTAGCCTTTGGACTACGAGGCCACGGGATTCCACACACTTCTCATCAGAGTGGAGAATGAAGATCCTTTAGTGCCTGAAGTTGGATACGGCCCCAGCTCCACGGCAACAGTGCATGTGACAGTGATGGACATCAACGAGGGCCCAGTGTTCTTCCCAGACCCTCTCATCGTCACCATGATGGAGAACATCCCAGTGGGCAGCTTTGTGGCGTCACTCAATGCCACAGATCCAGACTTTTTACAAGGGCAGACCATCAGGTAAGAGCTAAATGATCTATAGAGGCACAACCCTTTCCATTTTAAAACACATCTGTTCTTTGAGTTTGTTAGTTAGTTTGTGTAATTAATTAGACTTCGACAAACTTTATTGATCCACAAGGGAAATTACTTCTACTTAGTACTTGCTTACTTGCTTCCTACTTATATAGTAACACTTTCTGCTTTCCTACCATCCTAATTGTTCAATGTGATGAATTTATAAGCATGTTTCACCACTTTCAAAGGTGGGGTTTGCCAGCCAGCTACAAACAACTAGCATGCGAACAGCACAATTCCTGATTCTCTGAGGATAAAACTCTTCTTAATTAGATGCAGACAGCACACAGTGTTCTGAATTCTACCTTAGGAGATGTTTTTACAACATATGCACTAGGACAAAACAAATGTTGTTTGATAACAAGAAAAAACAAAATGGGTACAGACTTTAAAGGGGCATTGTGTAACTTTTCTGGTGCAGGGCCTGCTGTCTGCTTCACTTCAAATGTTCTATTTACAGTATGGCATTGAACTTATCTCAATGCAGACAAGCAATAACCAGGACAAGCTACAGGTCAGATCTGTGGAGAGGCAACCCCACTTACTGCTTTTCAAGGTATTTTAAGCAATTTAAACTCAATATATACAAGTTTAATGTCATACTGTGCAATGCAATAACATCTCCATGAGATGAGCAGGAGGCAGTCCTTCCACCAGAAAAGTTTCATAATGTACCTTTAAGTTATCAAACAGCAAGATCTTCTTTCCTTCAGAGTTGCTTCACTTTCTTGTCAGTGTGCATTGGTTGTGTTGTTATGGATTTATTTATTTATTATTTATTTATTTTTGTACACAAGTTGCCCTAAACATACATCATGTATTTGGATGTAGACGTTGTCGTATACTTCACAAACCTTTATCCTTTTTGGCAAAAACAGCTGTCTTTATATGTCAGTGTTAATCCATCATGGCTGAAGTTTTCTTTGAATCTTGTCAAACTCCACTCTGCTGAATTATTACCTATTAAAACTTTGTAACCCTGTACAAAGTATTACAGTTATATTAACAGTAGTATATTATTATATGTCTAGACTTTCTTAATAGCCATACTCAAGTTTTGTTTTATTTTAGCCTATATTCATTTACTTCTTATACATCTAATACATCTTTGATTTTATTTTCTCTCTGAGATTCTGGCGTGATGTGTGAGAGAGATATGCAGCATCTCTCTCTCTGAAATTACCCGTAAAATGATTGAAAGTTGTGGAGTGGCAGTGCACCACACAAACTCAAATTTACCTTCATGTTGACATCTTCATTGGTCTGATCTCTTTTCATTCTCTGTTCACCATGATGGACACTCCATCCTCATTTGTCTATGCTGTGTGTGCAAACAGAACTGCTCATATAATATGCTATTTACTGCTTGGAGTCAAGTCATTCACCCTGGACCACTGAGAAGTCACCACCCCATTAACTTTTACATTGCTACAGAACTAGAATAAACAGGAGGCTATTAGTTACACTATGTGTCACAGTAAAAACTAAATAAATACAACTTCCACCTGCTTCCATTTTAGAGAGGAAAAACATAGTTGCGTTTGTTTGTTTTCCACTTTAAAGCGGACCTATTCTGCAAAATTTCTTTTTTGAGCTTTTTACCATGTCATAGTTGTTTCTCCTCTCCGTTTACTCACCCAGAGTTGTATTTGGAGTGATTTCGGCATCTTTGAGCAATCTTTAATTGCTTATTTTTAAGATGCCACTTTGACAATCATCTCCTGTTTTCACCACCACTGGTACACTCCTAGCCTGATTCATCAGCCGGTTTCACTTCGTCTGACCTCGCACCATTAGAATTTGTTCACTCGATGGTAGGCGGGTACTTTTTTTCATTTAACTAATCACTGCTATTTGATCGTGACGTATGTAATGCGCCACTAACGGGGCTAAATGGTATATTAAGCTTTTCCCAAATCCTGTAGGAACAAGGCCAATAACGTCTTTCCCCTTGATAAAATTCGCCAAACATTCTCTTTGTTCCACCTATAAATCCTCGATCTCAGGAATTGTTGCCAACACTGAATGTATGACTCTTCGCTGACTGGCTGGTGCCCAGACTCACACTTCCGGGGTTTTTGCAACCTGTCTAGTGTATTCCAATCCCTGACCTAGTTGCTGGAGAGAAATGAAATTGAGCGGAGGCACTAGGTTGTGCCAGCCTGGCTAGTACACTCCCACTTCCCTGGCAAATCCAGACTTTTCTTTTATGATCTTATTTTATTTTATTAGATTTATAGTGTAGAAAATATAACATGATCCACGGGTGTCGCAGATTATGACTATATAGCAACCACAAGCTCAATATGTCTTCTTTAATGTGTGCCTCATTTTACACTGAATTCACTGTTGTCAGTTATGCAAAGATGTTATAGGTAAAAACAGGGATAATGATCTAGCTACATAAAAAGCGTAGGGTTGTCTCTTTACTGTCCTGATAAATGATAGCACAGTAAAATGCAGTCACTCTGTGTGTCCAGCTTTATAATGAGGGGATGTAAATACTGTGTAGGAGGTAAGGCCAGAGCGGTGAAGCTGTTAGAAGTTTATAAGGTCACCTTAAATTGCCTTACCGGGCTAGAGTCACGTAAATAAACCAGCTCGTTAGTCAAATGCTGTGAACTCTTAAGTGTCTGCCTGGTCTAGGATTATGATAAACATATTGTAGTAGCAGTTTAGAACATCTGGGGAAAAGAAATCATACTAATATTGGATTTGAAATAATATCAGAATTTAGTGTTTTGTCTTTATAGTTTAATAAAGCTTCCATACACAAATGCATACTATTGTTCCATAGTGTTCCAAGTGTTTTAAATGTCCTGTATTATGCAAAATTGACAAATGTGAGCTTTAAGTCAAGTTATATTGTTGTTATCTACTCAAAAACATACCTGTAGCTGTATTTTGTTTCATTTACACATTTGTTTGAGTTTGAGTGATCCTGCATTATTAGTCTATCAGCATCTCCTAAGTTCAAAATGCTCTATTCAACCTTGTGATCCCGTGTAAGTTTTCAAGTTAAGAGCTGCCTTTTACCTTTAGTTCAGTAAAGATTGACAATTCCAGGGCTGAAATTATGCAAATGATTCTGCTGGAGGTGTTTAAAGCTTAAAAACACAGTGAAGCACTTCCTGTATTACCATGACATCATAAGGTCAGACTGTTTTCCGTCTGAGAGGAGAACTCAACCTAAATATGCAGGATTTGTGTGTTAAACATGCATGAATGAAACAAAACACAACTCCAGATATGTTTTTGATGAGGAAAGTACCCTAAAACATAGATCAGAAAATAGCTCAGTATGGATTCTCTAAGTGTTTTAATTCATTTATCGAAGGACATTAGTTTTCTTCCTTTAGCTCCCGTATCTCTGCACACCACTTTGTATCCCATTATGTGCTCTGAATACGTACAGAAAATGCTGTCGTCATGGAGACAGCCCCTGCTAACATGTACCTATCTGACCTGGCATTCCACTTTGCATTAGTACCTTCATTCCTTGTAAATTTTCTGAAACTTCAAAGCCTTGTATCTGATTTTCACCCTCTTAAAAACTTGAAATACTGAACTAGTTCCTTTTAAACGGTTTGCAGTGACCCAAAGTTATTCCTCACTTACATTATGCATTCCAAGCATCCTAATTATTCACCTCAATGAGTTTATAAGTGCTTTTTTATAACTTTCAGAGGCCAGAGCGCACTTCCTGTTTATCGGATAATAAAATGTGTTCTAATTAAATGCAGACGGCATGCAGCAGACTTATTTTAACCTCAAGAGCTGCGTGTATAATATATCTGCACTGGGGCAAGACACATTGTGCTCAAGTACATGGGGAAAATTGGGTACAGGACCTTTAAACCTTCCAATACATGATTCTTTTCTTCTTCTTTTTTTCTTTAATCTTAGTTCCGTCTCTTAAAACAACTGACCTGTCTATTCCTAACTTTATACCTTTTTTGTTTTTACTCCTCTCAAGCGTGAAGTCCATCTGTGTTTATTCCATCTGGTCTGACGCGCTTGTCATTTCATCCGATGACATTTTTGAGTTTGAAGTATTGCCGGGCGACAGTCACCCACAGACAGGGAGAGGTACAGAGCTGGGTAGATGTGATGGGAATAGCAAGCAGGATTGGCAGGAGTGGAGGGGACCAGTTTAATGCCCTGTTGGTAGTCTGTTTGTGGAGTGCTACTCAGCTGTTTGTTGTGTGTCTCTGGAGGGATGCTGAGGTCAAACGGTGGTACAGGTTGAAACATAAACTGTCAAATACACACAGGGACAAAGCCCAAGTGGATTTTAGAGATCACATTTATACCGTAAATTGACACTGTCTTGGAGTTGAGTTTAATGTAAACAAGACAAACAGGCAATATAGATATTAAACCAGTAGCTAAGCACTAAGTTTTTATGAGTTAAAATTAAAGGAGAGGTTGTTGAGCTTAAACCCTTCAACCTTGTCTACATCTTCAAAGCTCGAAATGCTACATTCCAGCTTGTAATCTTATGTTGTGCTGGTTTCCAAGTTAACAGCTCCCTTTTATCTTTAGTTCGGTAGAGGTTGGCAATTCCACGGCTGAAATCATCCAAATGGTTCTACTGAAAGTGTATGGAGTGTTTTCTGTTTGATAGAAGAGCTCTAAAGAAGCTTCAATATTCAAGGTTTGTGTGTGAATAAAACAAAATATAAAACAATGAAACAATGTTATAATATAGATCATAAAATAGCTTAATATGTCTCTTTAACTCATTGTTCTTGATGTTCACAAAATGGGATGCATCTTATTTCAGGTTTTTTGCTCATGACATGACAAAATATACATTTCAGTACAGAAAGGTTTTACTGAATTGGGCCGGGTTCACAGTAACAGCTAAGGCTCCTGGATGTCCATCTATAAAATAAGTGACTCACAGTGCAGGTAGAATAGCCCATGGTCTGGAATGGTTT